TACTATATATATAGTTGTGAGCTTATCTGGACGTAAATCAGAGAGGATAATTCAGTCAATTGTTACAAAATTAACTTAGAAATAAATGAACATTGAACATTTTATTACGTGTAATATCATACTTCAGTGTTGGTTCTTGGCGTATTTTGGATATTGAAGGCCGCGATTTGAATGTATATTGTTACATTAATATTTAGAAAATTGCACACATTGGGTTTCCAATTTCATCCAAATTAATCTAAACTATCTTTAGAAACAGAATTAAGGTAATTTCAGACAATTAAAAAAGTATAATATAGTGTTTTATTTGTGTGAATATATTTGCATATTCATTAAAAAGTGTAAATTGTCATCACTATAACATTTAAGTTACTGTATAGAAAGAGGAGACCTTTTCTTACCTTTTGTAAGTGTTTTAATTATCGTGAGAAGATTGTGAATAGAGCTGGTCAGCTATATACTTCTGAGATCTCTTGAATTCTTGCTCGCCATATTTTGCCGTCTACTCCTTTTAGCAGGAGTTCTTAACCTTCATTGCAGGACGTCAATAGATCAAGGATTCGAGGATTGGCCAATGAGTCCGGGAATTAAGAATTCAAGCAGAAGATTTTGTTCAATCTCTGTATGCTCACTTGGAAGCAAATTTGGTAAATATAAAAAATCGTCGATATTTTTTCCTTTTCTTTTTCCACATTATTTTCCTATTAACAGACCCTTAATATTAATCACAACGTTTAGGAACGTTGCAGGTAATTTCGCACTGGAAGTGACCGGAGGGGTGCAGGAGAGGCTGGTTAAGAACCCCTGCCCTCGAGCAATGGCCGTGGCGGGGCGGGGTGGGAGAGCAAAGATCAGCGCCCGGCTCTGCCGAGGGCGGCGGGACAGGGAGCGGTAGGGGGAGCGAGGCTTGGCGAGGAGATAATACACACTCAAGTAGTCTTGCTTTACAGACATTTATAGGTTGAAAGAAATAGGCCCAAGTAAAATAATATTTAACTATGGACATTTTAAATAACTTTTTAAAACACAATAAATTGGATGACATAATTTTCCAAAAAAATATATTATATATTTACGTTTATTGGCTTTTAAAACGGGACTTTTAACATAAAGTTCACAAAATATAGAGCCTTCATAATTTTTTTCTTATAATTTTTCTTATTTTTGGTTTTTTACTTTTTACAAGAACAGTGTTCGGCAGGTACGAACTGATACCATTTAGAGTCAGTTGTTTGAATAACAGAGGAAGAGCGGGATCTGACAACGTAGTAGCAATAAATAACAGTGCTGCCACCGGCGCTAGGCGACGGCGAAAACACATATAGAACTTTATCAGTAGAATTATTTAAGGGCGTAATAATCATAATAATAATTTATGAAAATTTGATGATGATAACCATGAGAGGAACACTCGGCGTGGCGACGCGCGTGGGCCGCCACGTCCCAACTGAGAAAGGAACTGAACGCGGTGCGGCGCGACGGCGGCGGCGGCGGCGGGAGCGGCAGGAAATGGATGGACTGTTGTTGTAGTAGTTGTTTCTCTGTTGCTCCATCGGTAGTTCTAGGCTCGTCGTGTGCTCTTCTGCTTGCGGCCGCGCACCCTGCGCCATTCGACGTGAAGTGACGTGGAGCGACGTGGCGCGGGGCGGCGCGCGGCGGCACGCGTGAGAAGATAGGCCTGTGAGTGGCGGGTGCGCGTCGGAGGGTTAGACGCTGACCGCTGGGTGTGTGTATGTGTGTGTGTGTGTGTGTAAAGGGGTGAAAGTGAGGAGGTCGAGGTTGAGGCGACGACGACTGCAGCGGACGGCGTCTCGCACTCGAGTATCTGAATGCCGGGGGATTGATCGAGTGTATGCGTGTGTGGTGTGTCGCGGAGCGGGGTGGCCGGCGGGCGCCGGGCACGGGGCGCAGGGGGCGGGCCCTCGTTGTCGCGTAGTCGCCGTCGACGTTGGCGTCAGCGCAGTCGGCGGCGTTGAGGCGCGTCCGCCGAATCGCGTCGTCCGCCCACGTGCCGAGGCGTAAGGTCGCACGCGGCGGCGACGGGACGCGCCGGGACGCGC